GAAAAATAGAGCAAAGCAAATTCTACATACAAGAGGTAATAATAATTGAGCGGAGCGAAGCGAATCGAGTGAAGCTCTTTACTACACTCCTGCTTTTGCTTTACAAATACTCTTCCTAAACGGCTGAAGCGATCACACCAAATTCAGCACAATTATAGTAACCAACCATGGAAAGGTATACATCTGAAATGGTGCTAATCGGACCACAGGGTTTTTCTCTACCTGAATTTAAACTTTTGGAAATTTAACCTGGGCCTTATGGGTTAATTGGTTGCCAAGACATTATTTGCAGGATAACAATAAAATAGTAAACAAGAGACGTAACATATGTTAGCGAATTATCTAAATAGCACAAAATACACATACCGTACAGAGGAAAAGGGAAGCACAATCTAAATTAATATAATGATATAATTCAGCATAATTTAGTACAAAATGAATAACCAATAATTATGGTCACCGGAATAAGGCTGATGCAAAATTGACTTTAATTAATCCAAATAGCCATTCCATTTATGTGAACCAAATATAGGCCTACAATTGAGTTTGGATACTGCAAGTAGACTTTGCATTTTATGTGAACTAGACGTGTCAATAATGCAGACTTTGAATAGAAACTCTAATTAGGAATTCCATTAATGTGAACCAAAGATACCACTGAGTTTGGATACTGCAAGTAGACATTCCATTGACATGGACCAGTTGTACCATTGACTTTGGATACTGCAAATAGGCACTCCATTATGTGAATCAAATGAACCATTGCTTTGGATCCTGCAAGTAGACAATTCCATAATTTTTGTGAACCAAATAATGTACCATTGAGTTCGGATACCGGAAGTAAACAATTCGTTTATGTGAACCCGACGTATCATTGAATTTTTTATACTGCAAATAGACATTCCATTTATTTAAGGGAACCAGAAGAAACCCTACCATTATGACTTTGGATACTGCAAATGGACATCTTATTTATGTGAACCAAATGGACCATTGTCTTAGATACTGCAAGTAGATTTCTCTTTTATGTTAAGCAGGTGTACCATTGATTTAGGATACTGCAAGTAGACAATTCATTTACGTGAACCAGGCCTATAATTGACTTTGAATACTGCAAATAGACATTATAAATTAATGTGACATTACATTTATGTGAACCAAATATACCATTTGATATTGGATACTAAGAGTATTTAATCTCATTTAAGAGGAATAGAATGAAGCATCGACTTTAGAAAAGTATTGGATTAATATGCTAGCTCCGCTCAATATTGCAAGCAGACAACTGCATTGTACACCTAGTAAAATATTTGTAAATAGGTTTGTAAAGAAGTGGCTTTTTACTTTTCCTGGAGTTGAAACATTATTGTCCTAGTTGTTGCAAATGGAAGTACACATGTTTTGATTTTTTCTGTACTGTCAAAACAAATCAAATCAAATCAAATCAAAATCTCCTTTGTTCATGAATGTACAAGTACAAAGAATAGAGCCAGTGAGTACTTATTGTCTATTCACAATATTTTAAATTATAAAATTCCTCAAAGGAGTAAATTGCTTTTTCTACTAGGTATTTTTTAAGTTTAAAATAAAATTTCCTACTATTACATTCATTTATTATATCTTTTGGTAAAAAATTTATATATCTAAGGCCTCTATACACTGTGTTTTTTTTATAAAATTCTAAATTATGCCTGTTTTGTATAACATATTGTGCATTTCTGGTATTATATCTATTACTGGTAGGCCTACTTAGTTCTAGCTGTATTTTTGGTAAATGGTGCTGCTTAGTATATTTTATTGTCTCGTATATATAAATTCCAAACACTGTTAGGATTTCCAAATTAGAAAAATGATACTTCACACTTTCAATCCAATTTAAACTTAGCATTAATCTAATAGCTTTCTTTTGTAACAGAAGTATTTGATTAAGGTTTGATTTTGAGGTCCCTCCGTACACACTAATTCCGTATGATATAAATGAATGTACAAAAGCATAATACACCAGTTTTAGAGCCGAAAGATCACAGACATAGGACATCCTTCGAAGAGCATACAAGCCTGATGAAATTTTGCCTACAACATGCTGGACATGAGAGTCCCAACTTAAATTGTTATCAATAATAATTCCTAAAAATTTTAAATCATTTACTTTATTAATTTTAGCATTAGTCTTCAAAATTGTCTCATTGTTTTTATTTTTATTTGTACAGAAAGAAATGTAACTACTTTTATTTTCATTTAAAAGTAAATTTTTGCTGTTAAAAAAGTTTTTAATCTTGTTAATAGAGTTAGAATAAGAATTTTGTACAGCTTCGAGAGTTTTGCCTGTCACCAAAAGGCTTGTATCGTCTGCATATAGGCAAACTTTGCTATCTGTTCCTGAAATAAAACTAGGTAACCCCTTGATATAGCACAAAAACAGAAGCGGTCCTAGGATAGATCCTTGGGGTACTCCGTATTTGATAGATTGTATTGTTGAATTATGAAATTGTATAACATTTTTTGTACTAAGCCCTTTTGTGACAGTATATTGCTTCCTATCATTAAGATATGATTTAAACCATTCTATCTGGCGATTTTTTATTCCTAAGGATTGTAATGTTTTTATTAATTCTGAATGATTTACACTATCAAAAGCGTGAGTAAGATCTAGAAAGATCCCCAAAGTTTTATTTTTTTTATCTATGCTTTCAATTATTTATGTCACAAAATCTACACTAGCGGTTGTCGTTGACCTTCCAGCTCTAAACCCATGCTGATCTTCATCAAATAATTTATTTTTCTCTAAAAAATCTACTAATTGATCGTACACAACTTTTTCAAAAATTTTAGAAAAATTTGATAGTAGGGAAACTGGACGATAATTGAGAGGATCGGTTTCTAAACCTTTCTTAAAAATTGGAATAACTTTTGCTATTTTTAATTTGTTGGGAAATATACCGCAGATTAAAGAAGAATTTACTAGATGTGTTAACGGTTTTGAAATTTCATGTTTGATTGATTTTAACAAAGACATTGGGACCTCATCAAATCCCGAAGAAGTTTTATTTGGCCTACTTGAAATTACTTTAATTATTTCATCTTCAGTCACTGTCCTAAACTTGAAAGTACTGTCAGAAAAAGAAGTAGGAGTTGAATAAATCGTGTTTTGGGATAAATGAGGAATAACTTGACTTTCAACAGCATTAATAAAAATGTCATTAAAAATATTAGATACTTCCAATGGTTCTCTAACCAGTTTCCCTGATTTATTTGTTAGTTCAATTTTTGGGACATGAGCTATAGCAGTAGGCCTACCACCTACTTCACTGTTAATTAAACTCCAAGTTGTTTTGATTACATTGTCAGAGGTTTTTACTTTATCATTGAAATATTTACTTTTTGCCTGAATAATCATTTTTCTAAAACTAGATTTAATACTATTTACATTTTCTTGTGATACATTTTCTTGTGATACATAGTTGCCTTCCCTTGATATTTTGCCATTCTTTATAATTTCATTATTTTTATTTTTAATATCCTGAGAAATCCAGCCAGAGTAGTTTTTTTTGCAAGGTATGATTAATTTTGGAAAGTGAACATTAAAATAAAACATAAAAATTGAGTAAAAAGTATCAAATTTATATTCAGGAGATGCGTTATAAATATCAGCCCAATTTTCCAACATTAGATCTCTTTTAAATGCCTTTATATTTTGATCTGATAATTTTCTTACCTCTTTTTAGCGAATTTCCCTATAGGGAAGTAGCTATTACCGTAGGTGGCACGGTAAGACCTAGACCCGGGACCGATTTACTTTTTCATTTTGATGTCCCCAGAGGCCAAAAACACCATTCGTTCAAATTTTTATATATGTATATATATATATATAGACTTATATATATATATATATATATATATATATATATACGTCCGTGAACGCGATAACTTGAGTAATTTTTGTCAGATTTTGATGAAATTTGGTTTAAAGGTGTAAAGCGGGATAAACTTGAATGAGTTCGCGAACCAGCACGATCGGACCATGGGAACGGGGCTTTACGGGGGGTTTTATGGGGTAAAAATTGGTTTTTCTCACTTTTGACCCTCAAAACACAAAATTTCCCAATTTCTCTTTAGACCTTTTTAAAGAGCTTAAAAAAACAAATAATTTAGTATATAAAAGTATTTTTGTTCAATTATTAGTAACGGAGAAAATTAAAAAAATTGTAAATTTAAAATTCCCATGTTATTCTTATGGAGAATATTGTCAAATGTTGTAGTTTGCTTGTTTATGGATATATTTTGATCAAACTTGGCAAATTTATTTATTTTGTACTAAGCTATCAATATTTTACTCAAAAACACACTTTATTAGTTTCCTTGTAGCAGCAAACCTAGGTACTCGTTAAACCTAATGTTATTAAAATATATTTAACTGAAAATCAATTCAGACAAATGGAAATTCGCTTAGTCGGCAGGTTTGCTGCGGCGGGGGTATTTAACTGTTTTTTCTTTCTGTAATTTTGAATCTAACAGTGTAATTATCTGTTCATCATGATCAGATATCTCTGTAATAATACCTGATACCGCAATTTTACTTTTTTCAATGTTTGTTATGCAATTATCTATTGCACTAACACTGTATTTTATTGTTATTATCTATCACTTTAATGTTTTATTTGAATCTGTGAAAAAACGTTTATTTCATAATTTTAAATTGTTTTGATACAAATTTGCCATTATATATGTTTAATCTTTATAATAGCATAATGTATTATTTGTTTTTGTTCTCCAGTACGTCTTTTAGATTGTAATGGTTCCTCAACACGAGAAAATATTCATTCTCAATTTGTATTGGTTATAACTATGTCTTGTATCCTATGTAATGTATATTAATTGTCAATTGTTATTTTGTTGTATTGTTGAGTGAATAAAGATATTTTGAATTGAATTAAGTTTTGCTAAGGAAATTTCTTTGTGTAGTACTTTTACTCTTTAATTGTATAAACTGCTGTTTTCAGGTAATTTGGCAGGTAAACTCACTTACGGTGTCCAGTTGTGGTTTCCTCTGGAGGTGATAGCGGGTCAAATATTTCCTTTCTTCATCACTGTCGCTCATGAAGGGGAAAATCAAATTATCGAACTTACCACACCATCAAAATTATTGATCAGACTAAGACCGAGCGACAAAATCCAAAACTTTGATACAAAATGTTCAGGTGGTAAATGCAGGTGTGATACCAAAGGTACATTTCTAAATGAGTTATATTTAATAGAAAAATTTTAGTAATTCCAAAATGTTAATTTTGAATTTTAAACATGTTTTTAAATTAGAATAAAAAATCAAGTCGTTTATAAATCAATGTGAGATCCACTCTGTATCCAATTCTAATATTACATTAGTATCACATGAATTTCAAAAAAATAGACCGATTATAAACTTATAGAACATTATAATACTAAATATGTAAGGATGTAGCAGTGAAGTTTATTTTTTGTACAGAAACCTGATTAAAAGCCAAGTTTGTGAAAAGTGTATTTAATTTTTTTTTATTAGAACACATAATAAAAGATTCAAATTTTGAAATTTGTATGTAACTTTATGAAATGTTGATAATTAACAACTATCTAATTAATTTTGTCATGGTTGTAATAATGATTAAAGCCAATTATGTCAATATAACTAATACTACTCACCAAGTGTAAATATAGTTTTCACATACTCTGTCAAAATAATGTTTTATAATTATACAATTTCAATTTTTTTCAGGAAATTGCAAAACAGCTTACAAAGGAATTTTGATATCCGACCTCTATTATTTGAAAGAGAATTTTTTCCACTTGCCAATGCTGTTTTTAAATTTACATACACTAGCAATTGTGACCAATGTTACCATAAAGGTGTACAATGAGAAATTGAATCTTACTGAACCAGTTTATCAAGAAACAATAAACTCTCTTGCCAAGTTGAGGTTACAAGACGTGTACTTTTACGACGAAGTCCAACCAAATTGTGCCTGTCAAGTTATTTCAGCGTCAGGGTCCATAGAGTCTAGACCTAGTATTTGGTAAGGCAACTGATGTATACAGATAAACTGGTTTATTAACTGGTTAGCTGGTTTATTACTGGCTTAGGATATTTATATCCTAGGAAATCATAACTGTGACAAGCTTGCAATTGGTTGCCAATCATAATATGGCCACGTTAATTAATCAGTGTGGGAATTTTTTTGAGAGGGGAAAATAGTTTTTTTACAGATACCTAAAAGGTAAGGGTGGGGATGCGGATGCCTTCCCACCTCCCTCATAGAGACCCACAACTATAAAACATCTCTTCTTACCCTTCTCTGGCATTGCATCTCATGACTGTAATGTATTTATTATAGTAGCAATAACTGTATACCAATGTAATCAATGGCTTACTAATCTATATACTTACTTACTCTTACTCCTGTGGCCATTGGAAACCTAGGTGGTTTTTGGCCTCACCAACCATGTGCCTCCAAGCTCTTCTATCCTCTGCCAGCTCCAAGTCTGCTCCCATTCCTCTCTAGTCCTTCGTTGCCTCATCAACCCATCGCATTCTTGGTCTACCTAATGGTCTCCTTCCTTCTGGTATACCTCTGAGTACCATCTTTACCATCTCTCTCTCTCACTTCTACGGTTAATATGGCCCATCCATCTCAACCTCCTACTCTTAACTATTCCCACAATATCTGGTTCACCATATAATTCTTTTAACTCTCTATTTTTCCTTATCCTCCATGCATTTCCTTCTTTTACTCAGGCCCGTTTTTGACCCTGTCAGCGCCCTAGGCACAACTATGTAGTAGCGCCCCTTTGCTGTATATATATATATACAGGGTGTCCACCGACCAGGAAAACTGGGAATCCGTGAATTATGCTTGAGTTTTTTGGAACCAGGAAATATGCGTGAATTTTGTATATGCACCTGGAATTTTCAATTTACCGCCATTGCGAATGACAATAGTTACGTTTCCGTGACCGCGTGAGACGACAATATGTCTACACACGGCAACGAGGGATTATCAGACTTTTCCGCGATCGAAGAAGACGATGGTGATTGAATGATTTGAATTGAATATCTACAGAGCCACGAGGGATGATCAGAATATTGTCGCGATAACGGAAGGCGATGATGATGTCCACACGAACGCAGGAAACAGCAAAAATTTTGCCGCGATCGCAGAAGACGATGATGATCGCCACAAGATGGCAGGAAATGATTACCATTTTGCCTCAATCGCGGGAGGCAATTGCTATAAACAAACGACCGCGGGGTACAATTAATGATGTCTTCACGGCTGCGTAGGGTAATCAGAATTTTGCCTCATTCGCGGTACACGATAATTATCTCCTCACGACCGCGGGAAATGTTCATATATTGCCGCGATCATGGAAGGCAATAATTATGTATACACGACCGTGAAAAATAGTCAGAATTTTGCCTCAATTGCGGGAGTCGGTTACGATTTCTATACGGCAGGGAGGGATTTTTGGAAGTTTACTGCGATCATGCAAATACAACTACCAATTTTTTTTATTTCCCAATTTTTTGGTGCCCCCAAAAAAAGCCAATTGCCTCGCGCCCTAGGCACGTGCCTACCGTGCCTATTTGGTAAATCGGCCCTGCTTTTACTGGTCCAAAAATTCTTCTCAAAATGTTGTTTTCAAAAGTAATGACCCGTATAGCAATACAGGTTGCACTATAGTTTTATACATTTTTATTTTAGTGGTTTTTGATAGCAGTTTGCTTTTGAATAATTTTATTAAACTTCAGTATGATCTTTCTGCTGCTGTGAGTCTGCTCTGAATTTCTATTTCTTCTCTATTATTGTTTGTGATCATCACTCCCAAATACTTAAAAATACAAGTTTTCTGGAACCTATAGTTTAATACTTCTAAGTGGTCTTCCTCGTCATCTTGCCTACTTATTTTCATGTATTTGGTTTTGTTTTCATTTATTTGTAAACCCACTTTTCTTGCTTCTTTAATTAGTAGGTACTTCTGTTAGCACTTTGAGATTATTTTTGTTTTCAGCTACAATGGCTACATCATCTGCGAATGCTAGAAGGTTTATTTTATCAGTAAGTCTTGCCCCTCCTTCACTATTTCTTGTTTTCTTGAGAGCTTCTTCTAGTGCCATATTGAATAATAATGGCGATAGACCATCACCTTGTCTCACTCCGGTATTTATATTAAATGTATCTGTATATTCTTTCCCTATTTTTACTTTCCCTTTGGATTCGTTTAAACACATTTTTGCCAACTGAATTATTTTATTATACGAAGTACCTGGAGACCGAGCTTTGCTCGGGAAAAATCATTATTTTACTCTGAAAGCGGGGTTAGTATTGCAGATACATAAATCTATTTCCAAACTCCACACTGCTCGCCTTTACTACTTCCTTCAGCACTCCCTACGTCATGGACATTTTTCTCTCCCATTGCATGTTAGGATTGCAGATACATTAATGTAATTGCCACATACAGTTCCCCACTCTGAACTGCTAGCCTACTACTTCCTTCACCACTTCCTACAAAGCGGACCTGTTTTCCTCCCTTCCCATTTCATTTAAAGATTGCAGATACCTTGATCTAATCGTCATAAACAGTTCCCACACTCCGGACAGCTCGGCTTGACTACTTCCTTCACCACTTCCTACGTCGCGGGCCTGTTTTCCTCCCTTCCCATAGCATTTTAGGATTCCAGATACCTTAATCTAATCGTCATAAACGGTTCCCACACTCCGGACAGCTCGCCTTACCATGGCCTTGACTACTTCCTTCACCACTTCCTACAAAGCGGACCTGTTTTCCTCCCTTCCCATTTCATTTAAAGATTGCAGATACCTTGATCTAATCGTCATAAACAGTTCCCACACTCCGGACAGCTCGGCTTGACTACTTCCTTCACCACTTCCTACGTCGCGGGCCTGTTTTCCTCCCTTCCCATAGCATTTTAGGATTCCAGATACCTTAATCTAATCGTCATAAACGGTTCCCACACTCCGGACAGCTCGCCTTACCATGGCCTTGACTACTTCCTTCACCACTTCCTACAAAGCGGACCTGTTTTCCTTCCTTCCCATTTCATTTAAAGATTGCAGATACCTTGATCTAATCGTCATAAACAGTTCCCACACTCCGGACAGCTCGGCTTGACTACTTCCTTCACCACTTCCTACGTCGCGGGCCTGTTTTCCTCCCTTCCCATAGCATTTTAGGATTCCAGATACCTTAATCTAATCGTCATAAACGGTTCCCACACTCCGGACAGCTCGCCTTACCATGGCCTTGACTACTTCCTTCACCACTTCCTACGTCGTCGCGGACCTGTTTTCCTCCCTTCCCATACCATTTTAGGATTGCAGATACCTTAATCTTATCGTCATAAACAGTTTCCACACTCCGAACAGCTCGTCTTTACTTACTTCCTTCACCACTTCCTACGTCGCGGACCTGTTTCCTTCCCTTCCAATAGCATTTTAGGATTGCATATAACCTTAATCTAATCGTCATAAACAGATCCCACACTTCATACTGCTTGCCTTTACTAGGCCTACAATGTATCACTACAATGTACAATGTATGACTTTCAGTTTCATTTTTCTACGTAATTAGATTTTTGTTGGCAGTTCTAACTGCAGTAAACTCGTTTTTAGGCCAAAAATAAACTATTTATAACATTTGAAGAAAATCGTCGGAGCCGTTTTCGAGATATTTGTGCAAGCAAGCATACATACATACATACATACAAGCAAACATTGTTCATATTAGAGTATAGGATATGAATTACTAATCTATATGGCATAATAAATGTGATTGGCCAACAGCCTATCCCCACCCCTACCCAGGGTCCTGTGTGGCCAGTCCATCATACTCTATACTTTTCTTCCGGCATCATCTCTCGATCATGGAATCTCCTTCCCTCACCATGTTGGACTGTCACAAGTCTGTATAAAACCGTGTTATTATTTATACCTCGGTACACCCCAATTAGCAATGACATGGCTTGACATAACTTTTAACTTTATCATGACATAACTTTTGATGAAAGTATGTGTAAAACAGTAGATTTTGAAATTTCTGATCATTTTGGTCAAATAATTTGCCACAAGGCTGAGATTGTAAATAGTAATGTTAAAAGGTATTCCTCAAAACGTATAATAAGCCAAGAAAATATCAGATTCCTATACAACTGCTTATCAGCTGAGAATTGGAATAATTGTATGTCACAGCTTACATGTAATGAGAGTTTTAATGTTTTTTTTTCAATACTTTATATAGCTCCTTTTAGTACAGGTAAAATAATACAAAAACACTCCATATAAACAACAAAATTTGTACATTAATGAAATTTCACCTGTGAGTTACTAATAATATGAGAAATGAAGATCCGATGAGTCCCCAAAATTTTGGGTGTCCTAAGGCCCTTTTTGGGGCCCTTTTTGTTCCGAAGTGTGTATGGCTTGTTCCACAAGGCAGTATGGCTACAGGAAGGGTGTTTCGACAATTACAGCCTTGACAGATCTGGTTGAGGAAATTTTGGACTCTTTTGAGTCGAGAGAGCTTGCTGGGGCCGCATTTTGCGACCTCAGCAAGGCTTTCGACAGAGTCAACCACAATTACTTGTTGGATAAGCTAAGTTTTTATAATGTTAGAGGCAGGGAGTTGTCATTTTTTTAAAGTTATTTAGAGAATAGAAGTCAATATGTTTTTGCCAATGGTAAATGTTCAAAGATGTTAAATGTTACACAGGGCGTGCCGCAGGGCTCCGTATTGGGGCCCCTGCTCTTTTTAGTATTAATTAATGATTTAGAAGTTAATGTGTCATCTGAAATTTTCATGTACGCAGACGACACTACATTGATCGCTAGAAACAAAATCAAAGAATTGGCTGAAGTTGACATCCAGGAAAATTTAAACAAGGTTAGTGGCTGGCTGGATGCCAACAATTTAACTTTGAATAGAGAAAAAACCACCACTATGTTTTTTGGCCTGAGGGATCTTACCAAGGAGGAGGGGGGCATTTCAGCCAAGTTCCTTGGTGTCCGGCTGGATCCTACTCTTTCTTGGTTGGATCACTCATCGGAATTATGCATGAGATTGGCTTGTGACATTTTTGCTCTAAGAAGACTCTGTGGTGTCGTCTCGCAAAATGTAGTTAGAACAGCTTACTTTGGTTTATTTCATGCTAAGATTACTTATGGTTTGATTGTCTGGGGCAGTGCCTCAGCATCAAAAGATGTTTTTATCCTACAAAAACGTGCCGTTCGAATCATTGCAGGAGTTCATTATAAAACTCACTGTAAACCATGGTTTGTTCATTTAAAAATTTTAACTCTTTATTCTGCCTTTATTCTTCAAAACTTGCTATTCATTAAAGATCAACCAGATTTGGTGCATAATAATGACGTGCACTCTTACAACACTAGAATAAGAAATTACTTACAATTGCCTTATGTTAGATTAAGTAAATCAATGAAAAAGCCATCTGTACTAGCCATAAGGTTATTTAATAAGCTACCCCTTGCTATTAGGGACATGGACATTATTAAATTTAAAACTGTTGTAATCAGGTTCTTACTTGCAAATGCATTTTATTCAATTGATGAATATTTGACAAAAAAATTGACTTGCAATGATTTTGTGTAAGATGGGTGAGCCCTTTGTTCAATTTATTATTGTATAGATTATATATTGTAACCTGACATATCCAATGTATTCAAAAGAATATCTAATGGAAATAAAGATCTTATCTTATCTTATCGAAGGGCCCTTGTTCTTGAATAATTTTGTTTTTACGTTTAAGGTCGAGTGAGGTGTGGTTTTCGATGGTTTTAGTTATTTTAAATCGATTGGAACTAGTTTTAAGTGTATTAAACCACTCCATACAGGGTGTTTCAAAATATTATTACTTTTTACGATATTTAAACATTTATTCATAAAGTGATAAAATTAGTTACCCCCATGCTCTATATAAAAGGGGATTATTGAAAATAACTGTAATTCTTTACTATATAAGAGGGAAGGATCTCAAGGAGTAAGAGAACATATTAAATACCCCCGTCACAGCAAACCTGCAGACAAAGCGAATTTTCATTTGCCCGATTTTCAATTAAATCTAATAGTTTAATGAAATGAGGTCTAATAGTTTAATGAATACTTAGGTTTGCTGCTACAAGGAGGCTAATAAAGTGTGTTTATAGTGAAATATTAATAGCCTAGTATAAAACAAATACCACTCCATACAGGGTGTTTCGAAATATTATTACTTTTTACGATATTTAAACATTTATTCATAAAGTGATAAAATTAGTTACCTCCATGCTCTATATAAAAAGAGATTATTGAAAATAACTGTAATTCTTTACTATATAAGAGGGAAGGAACTCAAGGAGTAACAGAAAATATTAAATACCCCCGTCACAGCAAACCTGCAGACAAAGCGAATTTTCATTTGCCCGATTTTCAATTAAATCTAATAGTTTAATGAAATGAGGTCTAATAGTTTAATGATTACTTAGGTTTGCTGCTACAAGGAGGCTAATAAATTGTGTTTATAATAAAATATTAATAGCCTAGTATAAAACAAATAAATTTGACAAGTTTTATTAAGACATATCTATAAACAAACAAACAAAATTATTTTACACTATTCTCCTTAAAGAATAACATGGAATTTTAAATTTACAATTTTTGAATTTTATTCGTAACTAATCCACTTACAAAACACGTTAATATACTAAATTATTTGTTTTCTTTAAGCTCTTTAAAATGCTGTAGAGAAAAATTGGGAAACTTTGTCTTTTGAGGGTCAAAGATTGCAAACTTTTACCACATAAAACCCTGTTTTATGGACCGATTATGCCGGTTTCGTTAAAATTGAACCAAAATTACTCGAGTTATCATGTTTACGGACACGTATATAACATGGATATATTATATTATATATATGTATATAAACACATGTATAATATTTTGAGTGGATGGTGCTTTAGGCTTCTGGGAGCATCGAAATGAAAACGTAAATCGGTTTCGGGTCTATGTTTTACCATAAGACCTTCG